TTTTTGGTCATCTGACGAGGCCTACCGCTGGCTTACCGGCCCACCCCTTTAAAAATTCTGGTCAGTTATAACATTATTAATATATTATATATAATATATATATATATAATATATATATATATATAATATATATATTTTTATATATATTTATATATATTCAACAAGTCGTCGTCTCCCCACGAGGCAGGGTGACCCAAAAGAGAAAGAAAATCCCCAAAAAGAAAATACTTTCATCATCATTCAACACTTTCACCACACTCACACATTATCACTGCTTTTGCAGAGGTGCTCAGAATACAACAGTTTAGAAGCATATACGTATAAAGATACACAACATATCCCTCCAAACTGCCAATATCCCAAACCCCTCCTTTAAAGTGCAGGCATTGTACTTCCCATTTCCAGGACTCAAGTCCGACTATATGAAAATAACCGGTTTCCCTGAATCCCTTCACTAAATATTACCCTGCTCACACTCCAACAGATCGTCAGGTCCCAAGTATCATTCGTCTCCATTCACTCCTATCTAACACGCTCATGCACGCTTGCTGGAAGTCCAAGCCCCTCGCCCACAAAACCTCCTTTTACCCCTCTTTCCAACCCTTTCGAGGACGACCCCTACCCCTCTTTCCTTCCCCTATAGATTTATATGCTTTCCATGTCATTCTACTTTGATCCATTCTCTCTAAATGACCAAACCACCTCAACAACCCCTCTTCTGCCCTCTGACTAATGCTTTTATTAACTCCACACCTTCTCCTAATTTCCACACTCCGAATTTTCTGCATAATATTTACACCACACATTGCCCTTAGACAGGACATCTCCACTGCCTCCAACCGTCTCCTCGCTGCTGCATTTACCACCGAAGCTTCACATCCATATAAGAGTGTTGGTACTACTGTACTTTCATATATTCCCTTCTTTGCCTCCATAGATAACGTTTTTTGACTCCACATATACCTCAACGCACCACTCACCTTTTTTCCTTCATCAATTCTATGATTAACCTCATCCTTCTTAAATCCATCCGCCGACACGTCAACTCCCAAGTATCTGAAAACATTCACTTCCATACTCCTCCTCCCCAATTTGATATCCAATTTTTCTTTATCTAAATCATTTGATACCCTCATCACCTTACTCTTTTCTATGTTCACTTTCAACTTTCTACCTTTACACACATTCTCAAACTCATCCACTAACCTTTGCAATTTTTCTTTAGAATCTCCCATAAGGACAGTATCATCAGCAAAAAGTAACTGTATCAATTCCCATTTTGAATTTGATTCCCCATAATTTAATCCCACCCCTCTCCCGAACACCCTAGCATTTACTTCTTTTACAACCCCATCTATAAATATATTAACCATGGTGACATTACACATCCCTGTCTAAGACCTACTTTTACCGGGAAGTATTCTCCCTCTCTTCTACACACCCTAACCTGAGCCTCACTATCCTCATAAAAGCTCTTTACAGCATTTAGTAACTTACCACCTATTCCATAAACTTGCAACATCTGCCACATTGCTCCTCTATCCACTCTATCATATGCCTTTTCTAAATCCATAAATGCAATAAAAACTTCCTTACCTTTGTCTAAATACTGTTCACATATATGCTTCAATGTAAACACTTGATCTACACATCCCCAAACCCACTCTGAAGCCTCCTTGCTCATCCGCAATTCTACATTCTCTCTTACCTCTAATTCTTTCAATTATAACTCTACCGTATACTTTTCCTGGTATACTCAGTAAACTTATTCCTCTATAATTTTTACAATCTCTTTTGTCCCCTTTCCCTTTATATAAAGGGACTATACATGCTCTCTGCCAATCCCTAGGTACCTTCCCCTCTTTCATACATTTATTAAACAAAAGTACCAACCACTCCAACACTATATCCCCCCCTGCTTTTAACATTTCTGTCATGATCCCATCAGTTCCAGCTGCTTTACCCCCTTTCATTCTACGTAATGTCTCACGTACCTCCCCCACACTTACATTCTGCTCTTCTTCACTCCTAAAAGATGCTATACCTCCCTGGCCAGTGCATGAAATTACCGCCTCCCTTTCTTCCTCAACATTTAAAAGTTCCTCAAAATATTCTCGCCATCTACCTAATACCTCCCTCTCCCCATCTACTAACTCCCCTACTCTGTTTTTAACGGACAAATCCATACTTTCCCTAGGCTTTCTTAACTTGTTTAACTCACTCCAAAATTTTTTCTTATTTTCATTAAAATTTCTTGACAGTGCCTCTCCCACTCTTTCATCTGCTCTCCTTTTGCACTCTCTCACCACTCTTTTTTCCTTTCTTTTACTCTCCATATACTCTGCTCTTCTTATAACACTTCTGCTTTGTAAAGACCTCTCATAAGCTACCTTTTTCTCTTTTATCACACCCTTTACTTCATCATTCCACCAATCACTCCTCTTTTCCTCTGCCCCCACCCTCCTATAACCACAAACTTCTGCCCCACATTCTAATACTGCATTTTTAAAACTATTTCAACCCTCTTCAACCCCCCCACTACTCATCTTTGCACTAGCCCACCTTTCTGCCAATAGTCGCTTATATCTCGCCCGAACTTCCTCCTCCCTTAGTTTATCTACTTTCACCTCCCTCTTACTTGTTGTTGCCACCTTCCTCTTTTCCCATCTACCTCTTACTCTAACTGTAGCTACAACTAAATAATGATCTGATATATCAGTTGCCCCTCTATAAACATGTACATCCTGGAGCCTACCCATCAACCTTTTATCCACCAATACAAACTACTTTCATTACGTGCTACATCATACCTTGTATATTTATTTATCCTCTTTTTCATAAAATATGTATTACTTATTACCAAATTTCTTTCTACACATAGCTCAATTAAAGGCTCCCCATTTACATTTACCCCTGGCACCCCAAATTTACCTACTACCTCCATAACACTTTTACCCACTTTAGCATTGAAATCCCCAACCACCATTACTCACACTTGATTCAAAACTCCCCACGCATTCGCTCAACATTTCCCAGAATCTCTCTCTCTCCTCTACACTTCTCTCTTCTCCAGGTGCATACACGCTTACTATAACCCACTTTTCACATCCAATCTTTATTTTACTCCACATAATCCTTGAATTTATGCATTTGTAGTCCCTCTTTTCCTGCCATAGCTTATCCTTCAACATTATTGCTACTCCTTCTTTAGCTCTAACTCTATTTGAAACCCCTGACCTAATCCCATTTATTCCTCTCCATTGAAACTCTCCCACCCCCTTCAGCTTTGTTTCACTTAAAGCCAGGACATCCAGTTTCTTCTCATTCATAACATCCACAATCATCTCTTTCTTATCATTTGCACAACATCCACGCACATTCAGACTTCCCACTTTGACAATTTTCTTCTTATTCTTTTTAGTAATCTTTACAGGAAAAGGGGTTACTAGCCCATTGTTCCCGGCATTTTGGTTGACTTTTACAACACGCATGGCTTACGGAGGAAAGATTCTTATTCCACTTCCCCATGGATATAAAAGGAAAAGTAATAAGACCAAAAACTATTAAGATAAAATCAAAGAAAACTCAGATGAGTGTGCATAAATAAACGTGTACATGTATGTGTAGTGTGACCTAAGTGTAAGTAGAAGTAGCAAGACGTACCTGTAATCTTGCATATTTATGAGACAGACAAAAGACACCAGCAATCCTACCATCATGTAAAACAATTACAGGCTTTCGTTTTACACTCACTTGGCAGGACGGTAGTACCTCCCTGGGTGGTTGCTGTCTACCAACCTACTACCAAATATATATATATATATATATATATATATATATATATATTATATTATATATATATATATATATATATATATATAATATCAATAACACCGCGCTACACATTGAATATAACTACAATGAATAGCAGTAGTATTCAAGCGCTTTCGTGATTTTTCACATTATCAAGGGACAGCTGTACCTTGATAATGTGAGAAATCACGAAAACACTTGGAATATTATTACTATTCTCTGTGGTTATATTGCTTGTTAAAATATCGCCTGTTTCTTGCGATCATCATTTATGTATGCATACGTACATGCATATCGGGCCGGCTGTACCGGCCAATCTAGTAATATTAAAAAATACATAAGTTTGCGAATTTGCAAGTGTATGAGGCGTTATGTGAGTGGTAGTGGTAGTGTTCATTATGGTAACACTGTGTTGTGCATCACTACCAGTGCAGCTAGACCAGCTGTAGTCGATATAGATACACTGTTCGTAAAGATATACATGGAAAACTCTTTATCTCTGTATATACACTGAGATATTCACCTCGCACTGTACATACACACTTTTTAATCTCTGTTTTAAGATGCAAAGCAATTTGACGTTAGTGTGCCGTCAAACTGCAGTCTTAATGGCTCTCGTGTAGTCGATAGAGTTTAAGGTATATAATTTTATGTAAGGGATCTCATTCAGGCTAATAATGTTTATAAACTAAGTTTTGGAAATATGGTCCAGGAGGCAGAATAAGAAGGAACACTGTGATAGATTTCTTGACTATAAACTGCACACAAATTGTATACACCCCCTACCCCTTCTCTTCCCCACTACCTCTCCTAGTGTGTGATTGTTGTAGTGTGTATGAAGGGTGCGCGTGGTGGTCGTCAAGTCAATATTGGAGTGCTGGGTTGGTAGGTGGCAGCAGGTGCTGCAGTCAGCAGGTGAGCGTCACTAGCTCTCCACCACCCACATGCCCGCACCTCCACCACCAGCCGCAATCATTGAAATAGTGTTATAGTCGATTCAGTTACGTTGCTTCTTTCCTTAGGTGTGTTTGTCATACGTCTCGGAGCAGAGCTCAGGAGGGGCCAGGCCATGGCATCACGTGTTATTGAGACAATAGCTACGTGGCCTTGCATCGAGGTCCCCATGGCACAGTGCCTGGCCTTCGCCTAGATCTGTGTCCCTGGTGCTGTGGCACAACACGCTCGTCGCTCGGGTGTAGCCGTAGTATCCAACAAGTTGCAGCAAGTGTCGCCAGTGTGTGCTGCTGCACACTTCTTGCAACCAGAGTGCAAAATGTTTTGAGGTTATGTATCCTTCACATGAGTGCCGGTACTCCTCAGGATGGGGACCACGAGTAACTGAGAAAACGGCCTCAGTAGGCCCAGTAATAACATGACGCAAATATTAGAGTGAAGGAGAAATTAAAGATGGGTCAGAAAAAGGCAGAAGAGAAGAAAGATCAAAGAGAAGAGTTGTCATCCTCGGAAAGGCTAAATGTAAGTGTTTCTCAGCGCGTTTCTCAGGTTTACTGCCATCACAGCCACTACTACATAACTCTCTACATATTTCATCAATATTGTTATAAACTACCTTGAGAGAACAACTCGCAGGACCCGGCTAGTTAACCGTACAGGACAGTGTTTATTAAACAACACTGTGTGCACTTAGCAACACTGTTTATTTAACAACACTTTGTATTTAACACTGTGTACGTAACAACAATGTATTATAACGTTAACTCTGTACATAATTCACTTTATATTGCCCAAGTTAGGCTTGGTTAATAGTGTCTGTGAGAATTAAAATCTAGTTCTTGGGTCCCACCCGAACACTTTATAGAACTGATGTGGCTTACACCCTGCCCTTATTGCTCTCGGTCATATCTGCTTAAGAATCCATGTATTGAGTGGTTTCTCCACTACATGGCTGACCAGCATTCCATTTGTTCACAGTTCTCACTCACTGTCGCAATTCTTTACCACTCAGCTTTATTTAAACTCCTGGTTTCCCGTTGTCTTGTTCTGTTTTCTCCCACGGCTCCTACGGTTTTAGGTTTTGCTTTTTAATATTTGTACCGAGAATTAGAGAAATAATTTTAAGGTGTTTAGTTGCTTATCATGGGCTTGGCATCTCTAGTTTTGAAGGTTCTCATTATCCATCCTATCATTTTCCTAGCAAATGTGGCAGATATATTGTTGTGATCTTTGAAAGTGATTCTCTTGACATTATCATTCCCAGGTCCTTCACATTAGTTTTTCACTCTGTTGTGTGGTTGGACTTTGTTTTATACTCCTACACAGTTTTGATTTCCTAGCGTTTTCCATAGCGGAGTAATTTAAATGTCTTCATTAAACTTCATATTGTTTACTGTGGCCTATTTAAAGATTTAGTTGATGGCCGCTTTTAGATTTGCAGTGTCTTCGATGGATGACACTGCCGAGGAAATTCGTTTTATCCTCAAAAGAGGACAGGGTACTCTGACTTACATTTCTGTCTGTCAGATATGAGGATCAGGAACAGGATGGGAGCGAGTACTGTACCTTGTGGAACGAGGTTTTTCACTGTAGCCGCCTAACTTTACTGTGTTTACTGTTACTTTTTGTGTTCTATTTGTCAGGAAGTTGTAGATCCATCCATTCACTTTTCTTGTTGTTCCTTTATCATGCATTTTGTGTTATTACACCACGATCGCACATGTCGAAAGCTTTCGCAAAGTCTTTGTATACTGCATCTACATTTTGTTTATCCTCTAGAGCATTCAAAACCAGTATTTGTGACAGTAGTTGGGACAGGCAGGAGCGACCTGCTCTAAATTCATGCTACCCTGGGTTGTGCAACTGATGGGTACCTAAGTGGGTGGCGATATTCCTTCTTAGAGCCCCTTTCAAAGATTTTTATGATGTGGGACATCAGTGCTATCGGTCTGTAATTTTTTACAATTGCTTTACTGCCACCTTTGTGGAGTGGGGTTATGTCTGTTGTCTTTAGTGACTATAGGATGACCTTGTGTCCATGTTTCCTCTCCACAGAATAAGGCTCATGAAAGGGGTTTCTTGCAGTTCTTGATGAACACGGAGTTCCAGGAGTCTGAGCCTGGGGCAGAGTGCATGGCCATGTCATTTATTGCTTTTTCAAAGTCTTGTGGTGTTAGGATAATATCAGAATTTTTTTAATTAACCAAATCTTGAATCTCGGTCATTAAAAAAATTAATTTACATTGTCGACCCTTAGTCTGGTTAACGGCTCACTAAACGCCGAGTCATATTGAGACTTCAGTATCACACTCATTTCTTTGCTGTCATCTTTGTAAGTTCCATCTCGTCTAAGCTGGGGTCTGGTACTGGATGTGGTTTTTTCCTTAGATTTGGCACAAGAAAAGAAGTATGTTTTTTCAGTTTCACTTATGGCTTTAAGATCTTCCTGTGTTTCTTGTCTTCTGTATGATTCCTTAAGCTTAAGTTCAACATTTGTTCCCCCTCAAGGGAAGTTCCTTGACGCTGCTGAGGGACTTTTGATCTAGGGAATTAGATATGTGCTTCAGTTCCTTGAATTAAGCCTGAATACCTTCCATCCCCCCGCACAGGCGCTATATAATCATACGGGTTTAGCGCTCCCCCATGATTATAATATTTGCTATTTCTCTGACCAGTGCTTCCTTTCGTATTTCAGATATATTGGCCCCTTTCAGCAGCTCTGTGATTCTTCGCCTTCGTCTGTATAGGGATCATCTTTTTCTTTCTAGTTTACATCTTTCTTTTTCTTGGGGTATACTCAAGGCACATTTCCCTAAATGCCACAGGGTTAATTCTTTCTAGGCAGAGGTTCGGATCCGTGTTGTTTAGGGCATCTTCCCAGCTTATTTCATTTAGTTGCCATTTGTTGGGCCATTTCCGTAGCCAGTTAGTCTTCATGTAATATGTTGTAGTTTTTTTAGTTGTGCCCATTCACAAATATTGAGACAGAATTCTGTTTAACCTAGAAAATCATATGTACCGGGAACAGTGTGGACCGTAGAACTTGTGCGTATTATACAGAACGTATATTCCATTTGTTACATTTCTCCACTCTTACAATACCTGTCTTACTCTTTCTATATGCATGTCAGTTTTTTTTAATCCATTGTAGTACCTTCCCGGTTACTCCTAACTGGTAAGTAAGTTTATTTAGGTATATACAAATACAGTTACATAGATTATCATACATAGCAACATATGTGTAGAGAACCTAGGATAACCCAAAAATCAGACAGAATGACTTATTTCCATTGGGGTCAGTTATATAAGCTGGACTTCTGAGGGTCCATGTGAATGTCGTTTGCTAATTTTGAAACTTGCGTAATTAGATCAAAGTATATAATACCAATAATTTGATGGTTATGTCCTGTGCAGCACCTGAGGATCTTTGAGAGACATTTTGCCTATTAAGGGGCTTAATTTAATACAGACTCACGAGATAGACTTTTAAACTGAAGCGACGTATATACATACACTAAGGACATACATTTATTGAACACATCCCGAGACCATGATCACTGATATTTTATTAACAAAGTGAGTTTTGATGAATTAGAGACATGTGCAACACTGAATTATCTTTATTAACGAAATGTTCTGTCTTTAGCAGTTTCTTGAGCGGAGAAGTGGAGATAACGGGAGTAGAAAGATAATTTTAAGGTGTTCGATACCTTAGCGTTGATAGGTGCTCAGTCCCTTAAATAAACATTTCTTTATCAAGCCACGCAACGGGTGGGATTTGAACCCATGGCAAGTGAGTCATAAAACTCACAGGCCAGTGTGTCAACCACTGAACCAGCTGGCTACAATAAGATTCATCCAGCTAGGTATATTTCTGTACACCATAGGGAGGGTAGCAGGGGCCACCACTGTGACCACAAATGCAGGTTTTTACAGATGAATCCCACACTAGCCACGCTGGTGTGGTGGCCCATGATAACTTCCTATTATATATAGAAATATACCTAGTTGGATGAACTTTATTAGTTCCAGCTGGCCCAGTGGTTAACGCACTGGCCTTTGAGTTTTAAGACTCTCTTGCCATGGGTTCAAATCCTACCCATTCCGTGGTTTGTTTGCAATCGTGTTATGATCTCGTGGTCCACTGTCTCGAATACTTTAGTGGAAGTAGTCAGCAAATTTGTTGGTCGAGAACGGCCTTTATGAATCATTGTTGACTTTAAGGTATCTTACCTAGGTGGCCTTTTATTGTATCTGCTAATATTGATTCTAATAATTTGTCTACTAATGAGGTAATGCTTATTACCTGGAGTTTACCTGGAGAGAGTTTCGGGGGTCAACGCCCCCGCGGCCCGGTCTGTGACCAGGCCTCCTGGTGGATCAGCCCCTGATCATTATTGGTGGTAATTTTGATGGTATGAACTTATCCACTGATCTGAAGATAAGAATTACATCAGCAATCGTTCACATCCCAGACACGACACACTTGCAGTGTTGTATTGAACAGTTCTCATATTTTTTATATATAATAATAATATCTAGCTGCTTACTAACTTGGACTCTGCCTCGGGGCTCGGGGACTCTTGGACTCTGCCTCGGGGCTCGGGGACTTATTCTGATTTAATCGGTTTGATACCCATGTCTCTAGTGAATATTACTTGATTTATTGTCTTCATACCCTCTGTAATTTTTAATTATGTGGATATCATTTGTCTTCTTGTGTGAAGACAGGTAATAAATATCAGTAAGGTGTCCAGACAGTTTTTCAGTACGTTCGATTTTTCTTTGGTCTGTACACTTCCAAGAATCCTTGCAGATTTTCCTTGTATTCCCTTGCAACTTTAAGTTCATAGTTTCGTTTAGCTTTACTTATCGCATTTTATTATCTCGTAACATGAACATGTTGGTACGTAATGTAACCTGATGATTCTGTAAATTGTTCATTTGGGATCATTCTTATTCGATCTAAATTCTCTGTGGTGAACAAATATTCTTCGGGCGCCTGTACATTTAAAAGAATGTATTTTTGGCAGTGTTTCTCATTACTGATTATAAGATCTCCAATACAATCACTAGCTAGATAACCCCAGTCAGTTACTGTTTATAAGATCTTCAATATAATCACTAGTCGGGTAACCACAGGCAGTGTTACAATACAATCACTAGTTATTGGGTGAAGGGGTACCTTGAAGCTGGTGAAGGGGTACCTTGAAGCTGGTGAAGGGGTACCTTGAAGCTGGTGAAGGGGTATTTAATTGAGGAATTGTATTAGAGACGTGAACTAACGCTAGGACAAGTAGTTGGAAAAGCTTGATACAAAATGTAAACACCAGGACATTTTATTGGAAAGATTGTGTCCAGGAACGTTGGTCACTTTTAAAACACACACACCCATGGCCCGGTGGCCTGGTGGCTAAAGCTCCCGCTTCACACACGGAGGGCCCGGGTTCGATTCCCGACGGGTGTAAACATTTCGACACGTTTCCTTACACCTGTTGTCCTGTTCACCTAGCAGCAAATAG